CTCCTCTCTCCACTGCCAGTTCCGAGAAAGATATTTTCCCTCTTAAATCTGTTATCACAGAGGTGGATCCACCATTGCTGACTGGCTCAGCCTTGGGTCCGACTTGGAGCCAGGGAAGCTTCCAGCAGCTTTTCACAGGAGCCATCCCTGTAGACCAGCACCCACTAGCAAAACCCCACCACACAAGCCCAGTGCAAACATCCATGACATAATACAGCAGGTTCTATGCCTTTGGAAGAGTTGGTAAATTGTCAGGATTTTTCTTTTTTTTCCCATTTTTCCCTTCTTACTAATTATAAAAATATCAAAGTCCTGCATTTGAGAACCACTGGCAGCCTGTAGTTTAATAACTAAACTACAATAACATTGAAAATAATAATTATAATAATAATGATAACAATAATAGTAATATATACAAATACACAAATGAGCGATGGTGCAACTGCTCACCACCTGATGACCAAGGCTCAGCCCATTCCTGATGAACAATCCTAGAGCAGAGAGAGTCCCACAACTGCGATCTTGGAAAACAGATAAGAGCCCAAGCATCCAAGAGACCAAGAGCATGAGATGACACCGAGAGAGAGGGAGACGGTCTAGAGAGAGTTTCCAGATAGCCTCCCATAATACACTGGGCATGACATGCATGATACTAGTATACTGTTGGCCAATTTGGGTCTCAATTCTAAACCTAAGGTTGAATCCTAGGCTAGGAATTGGGGCTGTGCTCCCTCTCATCTTCTCCTGGCACAGCAGAGAAGCTGAAAAGTCCTTGACTGCCCTGGCAGCAACTATAAACATTGTTATCAGCCTTCTTCTCCAACAAATCCAAAACAGAGCCTCTTACTAGCTACTATGAAGAAAGTTAATTCTGTCAAAGCCAAAACCAAGACAGGTCCCCAGTCTCAATTGTGAAATATTTGCAATGAGTTTTAAAATATTTAAAATTCCCATAGACTTACCGAATGAGTTCATGTTCAAGAATCACATACAGAAAAAGGAATTACAAGTTTTTAGATAAACCTATCAGTGACAGACTTTTCTCAGATGTGTTCTACAGACAGCAAACTTGACTTCCTTTTGATTTTATACCACACTTTGATTCCCAACATGCCTAGGTGTGAGATCAGAATCCATGCACAAAAGCCAGCAGAAATCAGGAGGGAGGCAGATGTCATTTGCATCTACATGAGACATCTTTCACATTGGGAAAGTGGTCAAGGGAGTCTAACTCATGCTGCTGTAAAAATACCGTCCTTTCCCTCCTCCTCACATCTTTAGTGTCAGGACAGGGACCCATCATGCTGAGAGCCCAGTGCTCTGACTTGGACAGTCTCCTCCAGGGCAACCTGACCAGCTTCTTTGTTTGAAGAGTCTTATTCAGTCTCAGTCTGTAGTCTCTTAATGTGTTCCTATAGCACACAATTTAACCCACCACAACAACATGCCTTTGAGCACATGTAATACACTAACTTATAACTGCAATTGCCTACAGGAGAACTATGGTGACATCAGAGCTCTAATAAAGCTGATTTAATAAAATTAAATGCATCCATTTTCAGAAACAAGTCCAGTGCTGGAGGAAGAAGAGAACAGAGAGATCATAATTAGTATTATCCTTTTCTGATATCTCTTTATTTTATAAAATATTGCACACATGAGTTACACAGGTTGGGATAATGAGAAATATACATCTCTGCTTGGGAAGTCTTTCAAAGCCATCACTCATGAAATGTATAACAAACAATCACAGAATAATAATTATTATATATCCTTGGAGAAATGCGACCAGACAGTTAAGTTTAGTCCACAATGTGTTTGAGAGGCAATTCCTCTAAACCAAATTTGATCATGTTGCAGGCAGTGCCCAATCAATTAATTACGGAATTTATGCTTTTAACATGCATTTTAAACGCAACTGTTAGAGTCACAGGAACCTGAGAGGATTTCTGTGCTGTTTGGTTGATCAGATTTCACAGTATGTCATCCATGGCAAAGCTGTATATGTAGTGCAAATGGTCTAGGCAGGGCACTTGCAGAGGAATGGGTACATCAAATGTGCTGCAAGTCTCCTCCTCGGGGTTCTCACCAAGTGCCACTGACTGCAAGGCCCTCTCTGCCATCAGTGGGAATGGGAACCGAAGCACCAAAAATGCAAACTAGAGACTACCAAATATTTTTGTTTCCAAACAACTTTTTTGAGTAACAAAGATTTTGCTTTCTCTTCTACTCTCTCCGAATCCCTTTGTTTACTCCCATTCAAAACAATTGGAGTTATGTGATCATTATGCAGAAAGTCTAGAAGTCTCTGGAGTAGCACACTGTATAAAGTACATTGAAAAAAAACAGACACCTCAAACAAAAGGAGGGAAAAAGAAAGCTGTGAAAGAAAGCAAATCGTGAAAGCAATTCAACTTCCAGCTGTTAGCAAGCTGAAAAGTGTACAACAGGAGGAAACTCTCGGGGTAAAATCCAGCTACATGCCAAGGCCCCAAAAGGTCTGCCTACCATTTAATCCTCAAGGGCATCACCATTTAGGTACTAAGCCCTCCTGCTGGATCATGTCACAGAAGTGATTATCTTCCTTGGAGAGCATACTGCAGAGAGTTTCTCTGTGAGTCAATCTTGAAATGATCTTTCCTCTTAAAACACAGGAAGCATTTTCCATCCTGACCTGCAGTCACTCACTACTACACATTTCAGTGTGTGCTTATAATGCAAAGGCTGGAATGCTGGACAAGGAAAACAAAATTTTTCACTCTTTTATTACTGCGGGCCCACATTGGCCTGAACATAGAGTCAATGAGAGAAATATTTGTCCAGGAAAGTGCAATGAAAAGGGCTACCCTTACAAGTTTGTGGGAGTCCCTCTTTCACAAAGAAAGGGAGGCAAGCTTCATAACAGGTGACATTACAGGCATCTAACTTCATCCAATATGAAAAGAAGAAGAAAAGCATGTTCATGTTTTTAAAGCAGTCTAACTGGGGGAAACAGCGAGTGAGTGACTGAAGCTTGCACTGGGATCCTAGAAGGCAAAAAGGCAAACTGTCCTTTGGACGGCAAATGGGTGTGTTTGTTCACATTGGCATGTGGTTCAGGTTTCACAACATTTTCTGGCACCTTTGTCATTGGTGTAAGATACTTTTCAGATTAGGAGGAGGTGCTAGGTACCTGGATGACATACAAGGTCTGACCCTGTCCTCTCTAAAGACAAAGGCAAGTGGTCTGAAAACACTAAACTATGTTCTTGGAGCCACAACCAGAATGAATCATGGTTATTAAAAAAAGAAAAAAAAAAAAAGAAGAAGGAGATAAGGTTATAATGTATCAGAGATTATCTCATGTTACAGGCAAACTGCAGAGGAAGGTACATGCTTTCCAGTTTGTTCTTCATGATGGCTGGCACAGCTTTTCAAGCTTACCTTTCAGAAACCAAGGCTACTGCTGGTAGCCCTACAGATGGCTGTTCTCCACTGCTGTTTCTTGGATAGACTCAGCCAATGTGTCCCAGTTACAGAAGCCACACCAACCACTCACTCACTGGGCTCCTGTTCTGCAAAGATAATGCACATCTCTGCCTCTGGCTATATCTCATATCGGTGATGAGGCTCTGGGACAACTGCTCCTCACCACCCAGGGAACTAAAAGGTAAAACCTGTCCTCAGAGGAACTTACTTTTCTCTGCCACTGAAGCATCCATTACAATTTGGAGCACTGTTATCAGAGAAATGACATTTGATGTTTGGAAGTGGGCTGTGGACAATGTGTAACTGAGGTAGTCTCATCTTTGCCCAGTCCCACCTTTGAAGAGGGACAGTCTGCAACACTTCATGTGGATTTTGAACTCCCCCTTCTTCCACCTCTCCTAACTGGCAAGTTGCCTCTGAAGGCCACTGATGGCAGGTGTCCACCCTCCTTACTTCTGTGCCTGTAAACTGCAGCACAAGGGCAGGTGGTCAGCAAGTGTTGCAGTGGGCCTTACAGGAGTTAGGAGCTGTTGTTAGGAAAGGAAAACCAGAAACAGGAGGTAAAGACAGGAAGGGAAAAGACGATAAATAAGTAGCATGACCTGCCACATTTCTGCAAGAGGTGCTGTGTTTCTCCCTGCTCTTGGTGCAGTGAGGACCATACTGCAGGCCCAAGCAAATAAGCACACCTTGGAGACCTACCAGGTGCAGGACCAGGCCTTTGGGCTGAATTTCTCCCTTAGCACCAAATGGCTTTTTTGCAGAGGAAGGCAAGAAAGATGGGATACAATGCTTGAGGCAAGCTTTTGGGTGAGATCTTAATAAACATCAAATGAACCTCAATTTGGGCTTCCTACTTTTCAAAATATCTGCTTGAAAGAAGTTTGTGTGTTGCTGCCAGTGGTCCTTCAGGCTCCTGTTTTGACTCTGTCAATGTTACGCTCATGAGCATCAAAGAGAAGGTGAAAGTTAAAATGAAAAAGAAAGTGACGTATGGCTTCTGAAACATCTTTTTTTCTACAAAAGTGAGTATATGAAAATAAAATAGTAAAAAGTATCCCCATAAAGATTGAATTCTGCAGTCTTTCTTTTTTTTTAAATAATACTTGAAAATTTATGAGGAAGGGAAGAAAAAGGTAAAAGCCATGAGTGTAAATGCAGAAGGACATGGAGAAACCTGTTAGAAAGGAAAGTGCTGCCAGCAAAACATTGTTTTTCTTTCCCCAGGGAACTCTGTGCTCCTCGAAATGCCGAATACAGGTACTGAGTTAGCACAGCCAGCACCTTAGCCAACCTAAGTAGTCCAGGTTTGGTGGCCAGGGGTCAGCCCTGTCATTTGGGAGGTATAGTCTCACTTAGGGAGGTATAGCCCACGTAGCGAGGTGCAGTCCACACTTCATGCTTGGCAGAGGAACAAGCTGGTTTTCCTCCCCCTGAAGTGGGTCTTTGTGTGAAGCCACAGCCCAGGGTCCCGTGGGCCAGTCTGAGTCAGTCTGGATAGGTGGACATGAGGGACACCGCAGGCATGTCCCTTAGACCAATGGGGTGGCCACAGCCCTCTCGTACATGCGCTCCAAGATGCGGTGGATGCTGGCGAAGCTTGGCCGGTCAGCAGGCAGCTTGCTCCAGCAGAGGCGCATCAGGTTGTAGAGCTCCAGGGGACAATTGTCTGGGCAGGAGAGGACATTCCCATCCCTCACATAGTAGATTACCTCCTCATGAGCCATCCCATAGTAGGGTTGCATGCCGTAGGAGAAGATTTCCCACAACACCACGCCATAGGCCCACACATCAGACTCTGTGGTGTAGCGGTTGTAGAAGATGGACTCAGGGGGCATCCAGCGGATGGGGATGGCATCGTTCTCATTCGCTTTGTAATAGTCGGCTGAATACATGTTCCTTGAGAGACCAAAATCAGCGATTTTGACCACCATGTTCTCCCCCACCAGGCAGTTTCTGGTAGCCAAGTCCCGGTGGACAAACTTGCGCTCGGAGAGGTACGCCATGCCAGCAGCCACCTGCTTGGCAATGCAGAGCTGGCTGGTGCAGCACAGGGCCAGGGGGTTGGGAAGGCGGATCCGCGCATCCAGGCTACTGCGCACCAGGCTGCAGAGGTTGCGGGGCGAGCGGTCACGCAGGTACTCGTTGAGATCCCCATAGGCCATATACTCAAACAGCAGGCACATTGGTTTCCCAACAGCACACACACCTGGAAGAAGATAGATGCACCATGCAGGTCATTTCGGGAGCAAAGAGGGCTCAGTTGTGCAAAACCAAAAAAATCCAAAAATGCTTACACAAAGGGGAGACTTTCAAGAATGCGTGAAGGGACAGAGAGAAAGGCGAAGTATGCAAATACCATCAAGTTTGAATGCATCCCTTTCTGTCTTTGAAGCTTCTTCATCAGTGATCTAATGCCAAGCTCTGTGGGAGATGCTAACAAGTCATGCAGTTGCCTGATTTGTGTCCACATCCCAGGAAAAGGAAACCCTTTCGGAGCTATGTTTAATTAAGAGCCTAATCCTGCTTAAATTGGCATTAACAGAAGTATTGACTCTTCCCAGGTGCAACTGAAAGGACATACGGTCAGGAAATAGCCTTTATAGTTCTAATTGCAGTATTTTTTAATTCTTTTGTTTGTTTTAATTATTGTACTTATATTGATGCGGGTGTAGGGCCTACACACATCCAGGAAGACTTCAGGAGTAATCACAGGGGGCATGTTCAGGAGTTCAGTGTGATACTTGAAATGCAAAGACACTCCCACTACAATTTGTTCTGGGTTTTCCCTTCTTTTTTAAATAGCTCATACAAAAAACATTGGTTGCAGAAATAGCTTCTGGCATGACAGATACTCAAAAATGAAAGAAAGACCAGGGAAAAACAAACATCAGAAAGGAGAGATTTGCCGCATCTGTTAGATGCAGAAGTTAATCCCAGTGAAGGACACATGCCATGGCCCTGCACCAGCTTTACTAGGGGCCAGCATCCGTACAGGATCCCACTCCCACCAGTTTTACTGAGCATAGAGTGATATGGCAAAAATATTTGTGTGCCTGTTATTAAATTGACAACCAGAAGCCAGCATTTAAAATTAATGTGTTTTGCTTTCTTGGGGTTATTATTTAGCAATTGGTGATCCAACTTGTTGTGAAATCTGAAATTCTTGTTGATAAACTAACACTTGAATCTTTCAGGAAAACCAGATAGCTGTACCCAGAGTAATAAAATCAGGATCTGACAAGCATGAGGAGTGTATGTGAGAGCTTTATCATCTAAGCTGTCTTCAACAACATGGCTGTTTTCCCCACACTCATACAATGTGAAACTAGTTTGTTCCTGTACCTTTGCCCTTTCCTGACCTAAAATGTGTTGACAATAAACACAAAGTTTATTTGAGTTTGGGGCATTTCCTGCTTTTCTTTTCTGTAGCCAAAGTATCAATACAGCTTTCCCAAAACTGGGATTTATCTATTTCCAAATTTTGTGGAGCTTCCTATTGAAATAAATTAAGATCTCAGCTGCCTATTCACAGGGATCAGATCTGCATACAACTTCGAGCACAATTGCCAGGTGAAGGTGGCTAACAACATCTACTTCATTTAAAAACTGAAAATATACTGAAACAAATTTTAGTTGGCAGCTTTCTTCACAGAAGAATGCCCTATTTGCCAAGCTGTGGAATCAAGACTTTCTAAAAAACCCAATAAACTGGGGTTTCATTTCAGCAAGGAAGGGAAGGAAGCGACCATTTTTGCGGTTGGCTTTTTTTGTTTATTTGTTCCATTTTGTTTTTTCAATGCTTCTGAGTGTTAAGACATCATAAGGGTAAGTGGGACCCATAAAACTAAAAAGACTTGTGCCTGTTTTTTTCAAGCACCCACAAAATAAATCACAGCTCCAGGAAGCTTCACCTTCCATGTAAGACATTTGTTCCAATGTTATTAAACTGGAAGCTGAGCTAGGCAGCAAGATGGTCAACAGTATAGTCGATGCAGGACAAGGAGGGTTTATTATGATGCACCATCCTGTTCAGGCAACAGCATCAGACCTACATATTGACACTTGTTCTAGTGGACAATTTAGCAGAGCATGCAGTGGCACATAGAAAAGCTCACTTCTTTTGCAACAAACATTTTCTTTTGCAAAAGAGACCGGCATTGCCATTTGCATTAAGCACTGGTCATGCATGTGTGTTTGCCCCTGCACCCCCAACAACCCCACCGCAAATTTGCAGAAAGTGGTACCCTGTACATGGGCACCTCATTCAGATACCTAAAAGCTTGACGATATTTGGATTGTCAAACTCTGCCATGAGGGCTGCCTCTCTCTGAAAGTCAGCTTGCATGTCTGCAGACGCTTCCTCCTTCAGCATTTTCACTGCCACCATTGTGAAAGGCTCATATGGCAGCAGCCCTGGGGCCCTGCAGGGAGAGGGAAGAAAGGAATGCATCAGTGATGGCATGCACAGTAAATGTAGGCTCTGAATGTGATGTAAAAGGAGAGATTGACAGAAAGAAAAAAAAAAAAAAAAAAAAGGGGGAAGCCGCCAGCATCAACTGAAGGAACATGAAAGACCATCCTCACCTCATGGCATGTCTGCATTGCGTAGTAGAGAGACCATTAATTTAATTTGGGGGGGACTAGATCCAGTATAGCTTTTTTTGATCACTGCTTTTTCTGCGTACAGACTCTTTACCATGACAGGTAAAGAGATAGATAAATAACAAGTCGGTAAGCAATAACCTCTCCCTGGTTTGAACGTCACGTCAGAAATTTCATGGAGGGAAGAGTGGACTCTTCAGTCCAACCAGTTAGGTTTTTGGGTGTAATAACTGAGCTTACCAGAGTTAAACTTACTTTACATGAAAATGTTGAAAGAGCCTCTTTTCACTGCATCTTGTCCCATACCTCATACAATGGTGGCATTGGTAGATCTGGCTACTATTAGAGTGAAAGTAACAATTACAGTAAGTATGTTCCCCTGGGTTTGTAAGGAAAACACCCTTTTGCCACTGTTCTGTGTGTGTGAGTGTATATGTGTGTGTGTGGTGTGTGTGTGTGCCTGTAGTTCAACAAGTGATAAATCCATTAACTAGTTTCATCTGGATTTAACGTGGTGGAGCTGAGGTCTAGGAAATAGTTATGCTCCTAGAAGTTTTGTGAAAATGGGTGACAGGACAGAAAAAACAAAGCATACATGTGCCCTGTTTGAAGTACAAGGTACTTTGTGAATACACCCATGTTAAGACACTGGTGAATCTTCGGCTAGAGCTTAAAGACACAAACCCATAGGAAACAGAGCTTCCTGACTTAAAGCAATCACAGGCTCATTTTGTTTTCTTATCCACAGGTCACTGCACCCTCAACAAGTTTAATTAGATGGTCTTGCCAAAGATTTAGGGGCAGGTGTTGCCAAAGAAGAGAAACTTTCCACTCTTCAAACATGCATTGAACCTCAGACTTGCATTTTGTTGCCCACATCAATTCTTCCCAGGGTCCTGCAGTTAAAACATGCTCCCTAGAGGTTATTACCCAGAGCCCATGGAGAGTGGTGCCCATTTACGTGTCGTGTTACTACGCTGGCCCGGCTGCCCTCTCATTGCTTAAATGCCAGGTTATTTTATTGCTCAGTAGCCTCAAAAGGAGGTTCCGATTTCCAAAGCAAACTTCCAGTTTCCTTGTCATCTACTCCAGACATATGGCAGTTGCACCATATGCACTTGGATGCTGTAAATGTCAAATGTCAGAAGGTGGCAGGGTGCCCATTAAAAAAGGAATCTCACAAGTGGCCAGGTCACAGCTGAGACACTCGGGCAAGGAGCTCCGGCACGCACACCAGAGCAGAGGAGCAGACTCCATACTTGTCTGCCACTGCCTCCATTGCAACAGAATGTCTTCCTTTTTTAACCCTGTGCTGGCAGCAAGTTTCAAGTCTAGTAGGAGGGGAGAAGTACCAGCAACTACCAGCTGCTGTCTAATCTCAGCACTCAAGAAAGTCAGCAGCAACAGCCTGAAGAAATGAGTGGAGCATTTAAAAGTAAAAAAAGAGGAGGGCCTTTATCTCTTCCAAACAGCCTCATTGTAGATTACCACTCATCACTGGCTAGCAGACCTAATGCAGACCTAGTGCAGTGCCAAACCAGGACCAGGCACAGCTCCTTCTTGCTTCTGAGAGAGATACTCACCTCAGGCTAAATCTTGAAGTACACCCATCCATCTACTCTTTGCTGAAATCCTGTAATGTAAACTAACCTGAATGTAACTTAAGTGAGATTAAGCTGTATGAAGCCTTTCCATGGGCCTTTACACAACAGCAAGTAATTTCACCCTTGGTAACTCATGTGCTACTTCAGCTCAGTTCTTAGCAGACCTTGGAAAATCACACTGATTGGAACAGAGACAGACTGTTTGCAGACTTGGCAGAGAGCTGTTGAAGTTGACTCCTTTGTTGCCCAGAAGACAGTCTTTGCACAAAGGGATAAGGCACATCTCCAGGGAAGCAATGGGAAGATTCTAAAATTAACCAGGAGAATTCAGGTGGCAGGCCCATTTTCTAGAAAACAGGTAAATCTTCTAGAACTGGGAAGCATCAACAGAAATCACCTTGGGTCTCCTCTCTCATGATTTTCTAAATGCTTAGGAGAAATATCCACTGTTAGCGCACAGGACGGATAGCAGCTGTCCTCACCTTCTTCACCATCAATGGATTTGTGCAACACTGGCAGCGTTTGGCTTGCAGGTGCTTGCCATTCAAAGAACTAACCAATGGTGCAATTAGGAATTTCGCCCAAGCCTACCTACAGAGAGTGCCTGACTTTATGTTTCCCATCAGGTTTTCTTTCCAGAGCAGTAACTCTGAAAAAACTGAGGAGCTTGAACCTGCATTTGAGATTGTATCCTGTCCCCCATCTTTCTCTGCATCACACCTGGGTAGCTTCTGTTAAATCATTAAGTGATGCAACCAACACCTACTGAGGCTGTGGGAGACCTACCTTTACCCTATCCTTTGGAGAAATTTGTATGTGGGCAGCAGAGTGCTCTGAATTGTCCAGGGCTCATTTTGTTGTATGGTTGGTTTTTAATTTATTATTAACATCCACACTCTTTTTCAGATATATTTGAGACAGCAGGTCAAAGAAACACCCTTTGCACTTGGAAAGAACATGAGGAGAAATCTATCAGAGAAACTCCAACCTTAAGGAGAGCCTTGTCTCTTGCAGAGATGACAAGGTGTGCTTTTGCAGTGGGGGTCTACTGGCCTGCTAGCAAAGACCCCAGCATCCAGGCTTTTAGGCAATCCTGGGCTTCAGGCTTAGCCTGGACCATGCAGCTCCAGCTCTGGGAGAAAACTTGCATGCTGGTCTGCATTGAACCACACAGGGCTGGTGCTCTAGTGATGTGTGGGGACAGTGTGGTCCTCCTGGGGCAGAGGATCCTCACTTGGCCATCACAACCCAGTCAGGACAGACCTGAGCCAGGTCCTGAATCTTGTTTTAAGGACATCTGTTAGGGTAACTGGCTACTTCCACATCCTTTCCAGTGTGAAGCTGCCCCCAGTGAAGACGGCAGCCTTTCAGGAGAAGCTGGTAAATGATAGCCAGACACTTCCTGTCCTAACATGTTGCTTGACCCATAAGTGAGTAAACATTGAATCAGAACTCACAGCAAGCCAACTGGCAAAGGCATCGCTGGCGCTGGGCACAGAGCTGTGTTTACAGGAGAGGGAGAAACATGAGACCAGGAGAAGTAAGAAGGTTGCTAAACTTAACTCGAGATGTCCATTTAACACACGTAGACAAGTACATTTTATCCATCTGAGACAGGAAGGCAACGATTTGAGTTGTGCTAGCCTCAGTAACCTGGAGGGATGCACAGCTGGGGCTACTGGATCAGCAGTCTGCACTGAGTTGCCAGCGGTGCACAGAGATGCCAGTGGCTTAAATGTTCCACAGGAATATAAGGCTTTGGAGGGACTTTTGATAGAGATGTTCATAAAAATAAAGGAAGCCCCTCAGAAGCAACATTTCTGTGGCTCCTTCCCTGAGCCACACAGAGCAGGCATTTCTCAGTGCATGGTAGTCTCCACTTTGAAAAAGCTATCTAACAAGATGTGTTGCCTTTTTTTTTTTTTTTTTTTCCTCACAGTTTCCACTGGCAATAGCAAAAAGGTTTAAAAAAGGTTTTAAAATAAGTTGCAGTTGCTGCGATGGATGAAATAAACACAAAGATCTCTATACCACTTTAGCACTTGCTTAATCCAGTGCTTTAGTGGCATTTGAATGCCCTTTGAGAGGAGCTGCTCAATGTAGGTGAGAGTCATTTCCATCTCAGAAAGGTCTGTGCAGCACTCAAACTATATTTAAGCCCCCAGCGCAGGGCCAAGGTGGCACTTGGCAGGAAGACCACCTGCCCTGCTTGCACACCCACAGCATGGTGAAGACCCCCGCCACATGAGCGGGAGGGCGACGCTCACAGGGCATCCCAAGCACTGTGCTGAGGCTAGGACAAGGGCTGCCCTGCTCCCCTACGCTGGCTGGTGTGCAGTGCCCTGAGCACAGCCATGGCACAGTTCCTACAGCTTTGTTCTCATTTCTAACTCAGAAGTGTTCAGCTTTGACATCCAGGCTAACAATCAATCACAGGCTAAGCATCTGTGATTTTCACACTGCATGTCCTTTAAGCTTCGTTATTTTTAGCTCTCTCTGAATTAGAAAAGTATGCCTGGATTTCTTCCATTAGAAGAAAAGTATCCCTTCATTAGAAAAAAAAAAATCCATCACAGCCATTGAAACTATTTCCCCACTTTAACACATTTAACCTGTGTGTAACTCATTTCCTAGCGGATGCATCAACAACATAACTATATACATTTAAAGTATCTGTTATTAGGACTGCTTTTTGCAGTGAAAGTCCTTTGTCTTTGAAGTCAGGGGGAGCAGTTACACCAGGCAGGTCTTGGCCCATGGTCGGACTCTGACACTCTCCTTTTTTTTTTTTTTTTTTTGAGGTCATCACACACTACTTCAGATACAGCTGCAAAATCAGCCACATCTCAGACTGGTTAACTGTAAAAGACAAAGAAAATCATCCCGCATAAACATGGAACTGGACAGTGTGTCCACTTTCTTTCAGGAACTTCAGGATGGAATTTTCCAAGGAGATGAGTATTGGCCAAAGACTATCCCGCAGAAATTATGGACTCTGTCAAGGTTAAAAAGACACCCCCCATCCACTTCAGTCTAGGCAGGAGTGGGTTCATCTCTGGGTTTTTCAATGAAACATTTTTCACATTTGAAGAAGTGCATGATCTCACCTCCCATGAGATTTAATAGAACTGAAATCTCATCTAGTACTTTAAATTTAAAACAGGCAACAATGGCTGCAAATTGCAAGAATAAAAAAATCAGTAACTAAAGGGGACACACAAAAAAAACCTGTTGGCCTAAGTGGGTTGGGTTTTTAGGGGATTTTTTGTTTGTTTTTGCCACTGAATCAAATGGAAACTGGGTCAGGACCTAACTGTAGCATGACACATTGTCCTCTGTGGTAATTACCAGCCAGTGTTGGCATTACAATGGAGTACACCATACACTGACAATTTGGAAATACTGGGAAATGCAAGAATTTCACAATAGGTCCCATGTCACAGGCAATACTCTTGGCAAAAACAGTGATGATAAATTTAGATAAGCTTTTACACTGGACTTTGGTATGTAAGACATTACATCTACTAGAGAAAAGAACAGGAGAGTCATTTGTGACAACAGTTTAACAAACATCAACAGAAAGCAGTGGACAACAGAAACAATTATGCAAGCCTGAGTGTACCACTTGATACACATGCATTTTTTTTTCATTTGAGTGAATTAATAAATTATTTCCATTGTCCATATAGGCAGTTGCCCAATTGCTAATTTTTCTAAGACAGAGAGGACTCACACACAGACTGCTTACCTTGCTTGGAAGACTCTCCCAAATGCTCCTTCCCCAATATCTCTCACATATTCAATATTGTTCCTGGGATACTCCAGGCTGAGCAATTTTGGATTGAGGAGAAGAGGCATCCGCTGGTACATTGGGTTGGGGTGCAGCCGGTCCAGAAGGAGTTCGGAAGGCAAAGTGGTGAGCGTTGGTGTCTCTGAATCTCTGAAAAGAGGGAGCAGTTTTCAGTCTGTGTGTGCACGGCCCCCAGCCAGGAGATAACTATCTGCCTCTCCACCAGGGCTGGTTTCTTCCAGGATGGAAAAGGGAGATGCAGCAAAGCTATTGAAAGAGTCTTGCAGCAAGGTGTCATGCCATGTCCCCAGAACAGCCACCAGCCACCTTCTGCTCTCTCTGGCATAGTGACCCGCCAGAGCTTGCACTGTGTTGCCACAGGAAAAGGGGGGGCTGCTCCCCCCCTACCAGGTGTCTGCAGGACTGTACGCTCAGAAACAGGCAAGCCCTCTTTCAAAGCAGCATTTGTTGCCTTGAATTAAATCCTGAGCTTTACCTTTTTTTGGTTTTCCACTGCTTTCGCTGACGGCAGCAAACCAGGGTGACAATGCCAAGGATCACGACCAGGGCAAAGCTGGAGATGATCGAGATGATAACAGTCATGGAGTATGTAGGGGAAAAGGGAGGAGGAGGGGGGAGATCTGGAGTCTCTCCATTTGGTTTTCTTGTTCCTAGTGATAACAATGCTGTAATGCAAACAAAATCAGAAGGTTATGCCTCTGATACTTTATAGGGCTTTCTCTAAGAGGTATTTATGGAGTCAGCCCAATGTCCTGAGAATTACTGACATTACCAATACCACCGTATTTCTGCATGAGAGGACCATACTAGGGAAACCGGGTTTGCAGGAAGAAAACCCCATTTCTGCTTGTCAAATGCGAAAACCCAGGATCTGGTAAAGACCAAGACATAGTTCCCATTGAGCTGGGAACACAATTTTGGTAAGGAATGTTAGGAAGAGTTACAGATGGGAGATCACATCCAACGGTCTCAACAATATTCAAATATAGTAACATCTGCAGATCAATGGTCTACAATGTATCATGTGTCCAGAAAGGAATCTACAGAGAGGAGTGTAAGACCAAGTAAGCACACAGTGATACTTTCCTGAAATATCCCTTTGACTCTTGACAGTTTGCATCTCAGTGTGTTTATGGGGCAAACATGGTAAACTAGTGTAAAATACATTTGGCTGTCTTTAGAAAAAAAAATAATATGCAGGCAGCCACTTGCTGAGTACTTTCTGAGACGTTCTAGAAAATGCTAATCTGTACATGCAATGATTGAGAACAGAAAGAAATTTAAACCACGTTTTTTAAGGCCAGCTAAACTGATACTCTCTTGTGTTCCCTTAAGTCCACAGTACCCCTGCTCATGCAAGCAGAATTGTCAAATTTCCAGACACTAAGATTCAGAAACTGTGTATCTTGGATAAATATGTTTCAAAAATTGTTCTGTGCTTTGATCAAGAAATAACAGGAAGACTTAGTTTCAGCATCACAGAGCGAAAATGTTTGCATAATTTTGAGATTTGTTTTTAGTTAGAATTGGTTTTTGTTATTGAAAAAAGTGCCAGAAGCCAAACATCTTCGGAAAATAGCCTGAAACCCTACCTTCTCCTTAAAACAAAGTGTGGAAAGTCCATTCTTCATAATACCCCAGGAAATTTGATTTAATCTTTTGGCCTTAATGTAATCTGGGACAAGGTGCTCAATTTCCCGATCTTCATTTTCCTATCTTTAAGGTGCATGTTACACTCTCTGGTTAAAGATGCTGAGCAAATATATGAGAAGAACCAGGACCGGCCGAATTCAGAAGACAGAACAGACTGGTGTGGCCGTGAGCGCTCAGGATGCAAACACCTTGCATAGTCCAAAAACAACAACAGTGGCAGAAATCATAAGTTGCAATTGCCTACCATCTCCACAGGGAGACACGCTGCAGTATTCCCAGGTCACAGATGGGTCTTTTGTGTAGCACCAAGGACGTTCATTCTCACCTCCTGGATTGCGGCAGTAATTTTCGGCATCAGACAGCTCAGGAAAAACCTGAGGAGTCCTCCTGTGCAAGTGGGGAGCCTTGGGGGAGCAAACAATTTGGATGAGTGTTTCAGTATAATTTTTCCTGCTGGTGTTATAAAAAGGAAACCAAACAAAACAAAGGAGCAAAGAAAGGCAGAGGTAAAACAGCTTTCAGTAGCCTGTCAGAATGACAGGGAACACATCTTGTCACAGGAAGGGGAACTTGCAGACTGAAACAGAAAGAGGATGTGAAACATCACTGAACTCAAGAATGAAGGCAACCTGTCCCCTGCTCAACCCTTCCACTGGGACTGGGCTGCCCAGCTCCAGGAAACGCTTTGGAAAAGCAGACCTCGAGCATGGCTCTCTGTTCAGTGAGTCTCACACTGATGCGCACCTGGTCGCTCCACTTCTGGCAGGGAATGCCAGAGGCCGTGACGTTGGCCCAGCCCTGGTAAAACTGGCCATTGCCGCTGTAGCAAGTCCCTGGGAAAAAAAAACAAGGGGTCAAAGCATGTTCTGCCGTGGGACTCACAAGAGTAAACTTCATGTTACACAAGAGCATGTGGCAATTAGCAACAGATCTGAAGCACATGAAAGGACCAGACAACTGCAGGCAGGGAACTACTTAGCCTCCTGTTTGCGCCTAAGTGGATTTTGAGCTCAATACACAAGATCAATCTGATAAAACTCCAAAGAGGGAACAGGAGCCCTTTCAGACTGGGAAAATGGGCCATGTGCCTGTGATGGTTGCGGTGCACCTAACCAGTTCACTGCGCTTCCACACAGAAAGCGCAGAGCAGAACAATAGTGAAGTCACTCATGCCAAACCAAGGCAGAAAGCAAATTGCAGCACTGGTTGCATGGTGCTTAGCCTGCATTCTTACAGGAGCACTAACAGGAAGACACCCACATTCCTGGGGTAGGTAGCAGAGGGCTGGGATTCACAAGGTCCTATGGTGGTATCCCTCCTCCCTGTCTCTGTACAGTGCTTGTCCTCTGAGACTGAATGTTTAGAAAGAGACTGTAATTTCCAGCATACAGGGAAACCACACACTGAAAGCAACTACAGATCTGAAGGAACAGTATCAGTATAAAATAATGTTCTTTATAATGAAGAATGTGTAGCTGACTTTCCATACACAAGGCTTACTCTGACTACAGAAAAATAAAGCAGAAAATCTTGAGAGGATTTTTACTGCAGTAGTATGTTCCCAAAACATAAATGTAGACATCATCTGTCCTCACAGGAGACTTTAATGCACAATGGCATAATCTAGGAAGCAGGAAGAAAACAGAGGAGTTGCAGCCTTACACACTTTAACACATGAGAGCTAATCTTATGTTAACTCTGCTGGCCCTGGGCTACCATTCTGGTTGATGGCATGCATTAGGGACTCCTGCATTATTAGTCTTGTTAGATAAGTTAATAAGCCAGCAAACACTGTTGTCATAATTTTATTTTCTATTGTGTTCTTAAACTTGCAGCACAATAAAAGAAAACCAGAAGTAAACCTGACCTGTTCTAAAGTGAAGAATTATTTAAGCAAATATTTTTCAGCTTAATGAAATCTTTGTATAAGTTTTGGTCTAAGTTTGAGACAAAAGCTGTGTGTTTCAATTTATCCTCACAGATTGTCCTGTTTCTCCTCTAGGAGGAACAATGTAAATGCATCATGATGACTATCCGCTCTTCTCTTCTTGCATCACCCACAGCACTCAGGAATGCAGTTATGGGTCTTTTATAGACCCTTAGCTCTCTGAACTTTCACTAGGTACCAGGCACCACACGTGAGCAGGTAGAAACACCACGATGACAACGTTTGCTCCAGATGAGTGAGTTCAAACACAAGATCAAGTCCTGTAACCCAAGGCATGCAAATCTCAGTATAGGATTGCCATGGACTTCATGGGCGCACTAAGCCCACTTAATCCATCACAAACTCAAAGTAAAATGCTCTAACTTGGACTTCTTTAACTGATGTAAGCTACCATGTTATGCCTCACATCTGCAACAAGCTAGCAACCCCCACATGATGAGCACCTGTAGCTCTGCAGAGGTGTAAAATCTTGTTAAGCTGCCATAGGACATAGTTGTGTGTCTGAGCCCAGTATTTTAAATGTCTCACATTCAAAGGCAAGGAAAGCAATGCCTGAAACGTGCCTCCTGAATGAGCTAGTAACCAACATGAAAAAGCTTTTGCACAGATCTGAAGTAAACATCAGGGTGACACCTTAGAAAAGCAATGTGGAGAGCTTTAGGGGCAACAGCAACACTAAGGAAGCACCCCTAAGTCCTTGGTGGCCTGGAAAATGCAGATGCTTTCATACCTGGTCTTGCTACAATGAGGACAGAGGGAATAATAACGGTGGTCCAACTGGGCTTTACTGAATAACTGATGGGCAAGATATAGAAAACGGCTTGACTCATGCTCCCCAAACCTTTGTGCATTTAACAGTGGATCTAAAGGAAAAAAGAGGGAGCAATATCACTAAAATGTTACTGTTATGTCTCCCTGATTTGTAAGCAAGTACTGCACATCTGTGCAATGCCACCGTGGGAAAATACTGTGAAAGCTGAACAAACAGGTCACGCATTTACACAGGAGACAGAGGCCATGGCCTAACTTGCAAACATCCAAGTGGAGGCTGAAACCACCCCATGAATGCACCACATTTTCTGGCATCCCTCTCTCATTCTCCTTTCCCCAGTGGGGGAGAAGGCTGCAGCTGTGAGCTGTAAGTGTTGGGCAGTGATGCTAGAGCACCTATGGGGTGCTAAGGCACTTGTCTCCCAGGTGTGCAGTGCCAGGCACCTGAGATTTGGGTGGCTGGGTGGAGCTGAGACATTCCCATGAAAGAAAATTCCCCAAATTCTCAATTTCACCTTTTTCACTTTCTCTCTCCACACAGAAGGCACCTGCCGGTGACAAATCTGCAAACATTGCCTGCTCAGAAGCATGGCAGGAGGGAGTCACTGTTTATTCTTTTTCCAATGGGGCAAGTTCAGTGGCTGAGCTTTAAACTGCACTTGCATGTCAGCTGGAAGAGCTAGATGCGTATGTTTCAGCCATGACCAGCAGCAGGGCAAGAGGCTGACAGAAGTCACAGCAGCACCACAGGGAATGGCTGAGTCTCACCACTGGTCATGGGAGGGCCACACGAGAAATGGCCAGGCTCCAGAGATGATGGCAGCAGAGTTCTGGGGCTTTTTGGGTAATAAGGTCTTTCAAGGCCAGCCTGACATAGGTAACCATGTCAGAAACAGCATATAAGGTTGGAATGACCTCAGTAGTAGTATCAGAAATACCAAATATGGGTAAAGCAAAACTAGAAGCAATAGGTAGAAAGAAGGGGGAACAGCTGGAGGGGAAGGTACCATCTAAAAGCATCGTGCCTCTCTAATCACCTTCACCAGTTACCAGCCCGCATTCTCCTCAAGCCCTGAAGAGTCAGAAATGTGTTTCCCCATGCCTCGGATGTGAAATCTCAGGCATTCCCCGGTAATAACCTGAATCCAGCCAGCCAGGACACAAAAATGCTCTGCAAGCTGCATCTTCAACAAAGAATATCATGCTGAGCTCTAGAAACATAGAGCCTGGAGCAGTCTACTTACTGGTTATATTCTCCTTCTTAAAATCTGTAAAAAGACAAGAGAAGGTGCTAGGAGGGTTTGTCCAGGATGCGATATAACTGGGTACTTGCTTAGGAGCATGCTATGGGAAAAAGTTCCCTCCCAGCAGTGCTTAAAGAGCTTGTTTTACTGAATGGCACCTAAATGGCAATGTTGCCATCATAAAGACTGATTTTGTCAATAAGGTTGTCATGATCCTCTCAATAAATAGACAGGCTTTATTTACTTGGGATTTTTTGCACACCCCAGTCAGACAAGGCAGGCAAACAGCCGAGGAGGCTGTCACAGTGCAATGCAAAGATGCTGGCAGGTGGAACACACCGTAAGCCTTTACATTAGTTGTAAATTATGGATCACATCCTTCCCCCCTCCCTCACAAAGAATGCAGCTCTCTGGACAACTGTCAGTGTGTGCCACCTTACCAAAGAAAGGAATGTGGGTGCAGGCACTGGGATCCTGGTGCAGGCTGGGCAGCCTGTTGCATTCAGGAAGAGTGAGCAGCAACAGCCCTGGCTTGTAAATCCCCTTCTGAGAGTTTTCTTCCATTGAGAGCCATTCCTTAAAGCAGTAGAGATCCTTTACAGCAAGGCAATTCTCTCTACATTATTTTGCAAAAAAACAGTGAAATACAGCAGTCAATGACTTGATAACAATGGCTGCACTTAGTGGTGTGCAGGGGTTATGCAGTTTCACAGAAATCCATTAGCAAGACTATGCTTCTTTAAGCCCATCTATGTGGCTCACAAACCACAAAGGAAACAGTATTCAGCTTCCTTTAGGAAACCCACAAACGTACATTTTTAATGAAGCAGGGTTATGCTTAAAACACAACACGCATCACAGTTTGTAGGAGTTCATTCCCATCTTTCCCTCCAGATCTATTGCCAACTTCTAAAATCACATCTGGGAGTTATCTTAACATTTTTTCTGTACACTCTGAAAATCTCATGTCTTCTGTAAATAATACATTAAAGTGTAGTCAACTAAAGACAGGAGGTGAGCTGCAATTCTTAATCTTCTTAAAAAAATAAATATTTGCCTGTATTTATGATCTCACAGAATCACCCATCCAATTTTCTTCTTTTCTCTACAGACACCTTTCAGTCTCTTTTTTTCATCTGTCAGCTGTCTGCAGCAAAACCTTTACACTGCCTGGTAAAGCAAGAGACCTAACTGTCTCCTACCTAATGTATTACCTCCATAATGATGTGAAACATTCATTGACAAGACGAGCTTTGGATGTTTAAATGTTCCTTAGATGAGAAACTGTTTGTGAAGAAGGCCAAAGCAGAAATATCTGCTCAAGAAAACAAAACAAAAAAAAAACTAGAAAAGAAACTGCAACATACTGGAAAGTTTGAGAGTTTTATGCATTAGTCAATTTATCAGTAATTTACTTATTTATATACTCATTCTTGAGAGCCTGAGTTGCAAAATCAGCTTTGAGGTCATGGACAGGGACTACTTTTGCTGAGCTCAGCAGAAGTCCTTTGCATATCCATATATGTCCTGACCACCACACCTGCTGGCAGAGTGGGAGAGGACACACTGGTGCAGAGAGGTACTGCTTGGGTCCATGGTGAAGATTGTAGCCAATTTCATCACCTGGTGGGCTGATGCAGTTTCTTTACTTATAGTCTGCTAACAGTTTTGGCAAGAGCAGATGGCCATGAGTTTTAGTGATGAATACCAACACTGCAAACCTTCTAAAGCACCTGAAGGACAGAAGCCGTGGGAATTATACCAGGGCAGCAGCTTTTCTGCAACAGCAATAGATGCCCTTCAAGTCTGCGGGCTGAAGCCATTGCAGCCAAGCTGTCCTGTGCTTGGTTCTAGCCAGTGCTGGTTTATTCCTTCCCCACTTCCACGAAAGCCAGAATGTAGCCAAATGGTGTAATTTATCTTTTTTACATTAAACAACAAGTGGAACAGGAATTACTTTCTGAAGTACAGTTTAGCTAGAGAATTGAGAAAATACTGCATTTGAAGCACTAGCTGACACTTGGGACATCTGGACTGCATTAGCTGTCTTCACTCCTGAAGCCTGAGCATCCTTATACAAGCCCCTGATTTGGTGTGCAACTGCAAATATGAAAGACCTTTCCTCTACAATCCTGTCCACTCCAGTGTTAAAGGCAGGTGATCTTCACCCACAAATCCACCCCAGGCAGAGGGTGGGATGGTCAGTCTCCTCGAGCTGGGCTCATACCATTGTTATAGCACTTAATCCTGAGCAGCAAGAGCTTGATGAGATCATATGCAAAGATTACTTTAGATTATTATTAGAAATTTTATGTCATGTAAATGACAAATGGACAAAGCACAGTAGGAGCAGAAGAGGACAAATGGATCAGTAGCATTTTAGGAACCACACAGGACTATTTAAGAGGAGGTGGGTACACACAGGCCCGACCAAAGTGAGATGTTTCCCAACACCAAGACTGTTCACTTCAGCCTGATCACTTCATATCAGTAGTAGTTGAAACAGAAATTGAGGGGCTTTCTTGTGCTGTCACAGAAGCAGTGGTAAAAGGCAGATGTAACAAAAAATTACAGGAGGAGACATCACTTTCCCTTAAAAACAGGAAAACTCTCATTTTAATCAAATTCCATCTTAATCTACACAAAGGGAAATTTTTCACGTTGTTTTCTTCTGTTTCACTTCATCTTGTTTTACCTCCTGATTATTTTTATAAAAGCTTTACTCAGTCTGTTTGTCAGTTGTTATTTTTGCTAGCTAGCTTCCAAACTAAAATCAACACAAAAAATGACACAGGGAGAGAAAAAAAATGGCGCAGAGAATAAATAACAAGACACAAACACATGGAAATATGTCGAGGGAAATATGTCCCTCAAGACCTGGGATAATTCTCTAGCCTCTGAGATAGCTAAGTTCAAGTCTAGCCAGTTTCTGCAGAGAGGTATAAAGTTGTCAGTAAAAAGCAGATAACTGGAAAGCAACCAAGACCACGTGAAATGTGTTCAAGAGCCCCCAGAGGTCTCAACCGTTCAGAAGTAGATTAGATGTCTGAGTTATCAAAAGGAGTATTGGGTAAGGGCTTTGGAGGAGCTGTTGTCCAGATGATGTGCTCTGGGAACAGGAAACAGGAAGGATGCAGTTTCAGGGTTCTTGTTATCTGCATCTAAATCTGCACTACAATCACAAGGAAAAATTATTCAAGTGAAAAAAAGATAACATTGACTTGTGGATTTGAAGAAAGATGATGCCAGGAAAGTCCATTAAGATTTAGAAATATTTGCAAATGCTGTGCCTGTTAGCTCCAGATCAAGTGCAGATTTATGCTGATTTATATCACTCTGACTTCAGAAGTACCCCAGAAGTGCAGGTCTTCACCACAGGTTCTGGTCCTGCAGGGCCACTTGTGAGCAGGGGTAAATCGAGCAAGACCCAGATCTCACTAAAATGCCTCATGGAGCACTGTGTAAAATCCTTAGCCGACAAATGGGCTGTGCATGTATGGCCGAGATAAAAATACTGTCACACATCTTGAAAAAAGGCAGAGAGATCCTGTATTAAAGGGCACAATGACAAAGAGCAGAACAAGGCAGCAGGGAGGAGTATGCCAGCAAAAAGCAAGTTTCATTACTTAGCTGCATTATTATCTGTGGATACTTGCACATACACTTCTTTCGTACGATATATGCCACTGCCATGCTGGAGGAGGAATACCAAACAGCATAGGCACCAAATAGGGAACACCATGTCAAGCTTCTGACTGGGATTTTCCACAGTGCTTTTGTCTTAGAGATATTAAAGGAGGAGCAATCAGAAAGGTCCAGATTACAAAGACAACATGCTGCTGAACGTCCTAAAAAGCCCCTACATAACTGCAAAAATAATAACCTGTAGACTACATCTGGCCCAAGTCCAGCTGGGGGAGTGCTTGCCACGTCTGCAGAGAAGATTTGTATTTCAGTTGAGATACTGGAGTTGGGGCTGCTCTCCCAACAAACATAAATCTGAATTATCTGCTTTAAGATGCAGTTTAAGGAGGACAAGAGCAAAGTACTGCACTAAGGCAAGGATGTCAGCTGCTTAGACATGAAGTGGAGAATGACTAGACAACAGTCCTCGAGGGGCTGAAAATGGATATGAATCAGTTGTGGCCAACAGTTATGTTAGGAAAAAAGAAAGCTTAGCCCTGAGACATGTACATGGGGCTGTCCTCTTCAAGGCACACCAGGCAATCATCATTCCATTAGAGTTAACGCTAACAGAACCTGGGCTGGAGGCTGTATATATTTAGCCCTTAAGGAAAGATGAGGAGCAGAAGCTTCAGAGGCCAAAAAAGCAAGAGCTATGAGCGGAGCTTGGAGAAACCTGCTTTATTCTAGTCTGAGAAGTTGGGGAAGACGTAAAATCTCACTGCAAAGAGGAAGGGAAGCAACTTGTCCCCATGGCCATGGTGGGAGGACAAGGAGCAATGAGGGAAGTGCTGCTCAGGAGGTTGCATGGGGAGGGAGCAGTGCCTCTGTCGCTGGGACGTGTTGTGCAAACACCTGTCAGCAGTGGATTAGCTGTAGTGGAAGATGCTTTGGACTCCTCGGGATCCCTGCCATCCCCGTTTCAATGCACATTTCTCTGCATATGGGAAGATACAACAGCCAGACGGGAGGTTTGGTTTAGTAGGTACAATTACACTGGCAGTGTCTCTGGTGTAGTCTTTTTTTGTTTCATCTTCATTGTGGTGGGAAGTGCTGAATGATTAGTGTATTGCCTTGACCAGAATTGTTGCATGCATTGTAATAATATTTAGTCAAAATTCCAAACAAGCAGTTACTTACGGTAGTAATAATAATTACATAATGACCCAGTAAGATTTGACTGATAGCAATATGTTAATTATTTAAATCAATTGTGTCATCCAAATTGATACTTCTTTTCAACACTGCCTGCTAAGCCTTCTATAACACAGACATCTGCTCCTGCAAGTCAGTCCATACCCTAGCAATAGGCACAGAGAGAGCTGGATCAGATCTTTGTGTGCACAGAGGAGAGAGTAAAGGGAAAACCCATGCAAACCTAGAGGGCCCATTTTCTCTCGATATTACTGCAGGTCTGGACAGACCCTCACCTCTCCTCTGCTGGCTACAAATCCCTGTAAAATGGAAGTGAAAGATGAGCATTTTTTTTTAATTTACCTGCACACTGGTTTTGGAGCTGGCCCAGCTCCCGAGGGATTGCACTCCTGGAAGACGTAGTTACACAGCAGAGACTCAGCAGCTGGTTGGCAGAATGAACTCACCATTTTCAGTTCAGTCCAGGCAGTATGCACAAGCAGCTCTTGGGTCTCCTCTGGGTCAGCATAGGAGGAGTTGAAGAAAACAAGAGCATTCTTCGCCAAGATAGCACTACACACCTCACCTCTGTATGTGCTGCAGTAGCCTGCGTCTCCCTTGTACATCTTGCTGTCAAGGACAAGAGCATACACACACAATAAGCTCACAGCCCTAAACATCTGCAGGAGCAGGGTGCTTAAGCTCTGTTTCTAAATAAAGTGTTGTAGAGCTAACAGAGGGCAGACAAGAGGTTAGATGGTTATAACCACTAAAAACAGCTAATACCATCAAAAAATGAAACTTCTGCAAGGAACCCTGGTGTGAGCACAGGGCCCTCCTGGTGAGCTCCAGGGCTGAGTCTCTGGCCAAGGGTTGTTAGCATAAGTGGGCAAAAAGACCGAGCGATCATGCACAACCGTGACCCAGCGTGGCCCCTCACCCTGACCCCAGGCCCTATCAGGAGAATGTTTTGTTTTCCTGTTTCCCTGAGGAAGAGTTCAGTGATGCTGCTTGCTGCACACCTGTGATAACTCAGGATTTTTTGCTTTTCTGACTAGCAACAGTTTAATTTTGGATAGACTCAATGAGAAGGAGTCAGGTGAGTCCCACACAACATGTGCCAGGAAATTATTTAGAAGATCAGACCAGCCAAACTCCTGCCTGCCCCTTCTCAGCTCCTGCACCCCTCCTGACCCTATCTCTTTTCCACACATGTTTAGGTGGAAGACACAGTCTCTGCTGTTTTCCTTCTGCAAGGTCTATCCTCTCCTCTCTTCACCACATCTCCTGCTTTGCAAACTCCTGCCACAAAGCATGGGGTCAGACCTGTGCTGGAGCAATAAAGAGCACAGCAGGGTTGGCTCCTTCGTGGGCCATTTATTTATCTTTCCTGCATTTTTTGCATTTAGGAGGAGACAGCCGCCATCCCTCCTTTCCCTCTTCCCCGTGGCCATCAAAAGGCAGCAGCAGGGCAAGGGTACGCAGATGTCTGCCGTGCTCCAGCAGCTCCCACGGCCCCCCCATGGCAGCAAGGTCTGTGGGTGAGGATGTGCCCTCTGCTCAGGCAGCCCATGGGGTGCAGTGCCCCTGGGGTGGTGGGGGAGAAGGATGGACCTGGGAAAAAAGCCTCCCCCACATGCGAGGGTTAGCCAAATCAAGGAGGGAGGAGGGCTGGTTACACCTGTCCCCACTGCTCATTCATAACTGAGGTCAGGGAGTTCAATTCACAATATGCCAGCCATTTGGAGTAGCCAGCAGAGCTGTTTGTATCTGCTTTTTGTTTCTTTCCCCTGTCCAAATAATTGCCTTTTGTCAGCCCTGGGGGTTCCTGCTGTTTTTCTTCTGAAAGCTAGTGGACAAGGGATTATACAGGATGCCCAAATTTCAGCTTTTCAGATGCTGCTCTCTGCAGATGACACTTCCTGGACCCACATTAGCTGCACTACTTTGGGGTCCATGTCCATTTGTTTTGAATTATTTTTTTTCTATATGCCATATTGGTTAAAAATACAGGAAGGCACAGATTCCTTGAGGTTGTACCAAAATGACAGTGATGTTGTGACATCCTGCATCAACCCAGGCTCCACGGACACCCCTTCATGTGACACAGAGACCCACTGGCATCCTGCACCCGTCCCACAGCCCTTGACATCTCACTGGTACCGACCAGGTTTCTCCACAGCACCACGCTTCCCCCAGGGCCCTGCTGGAGCCATCCCTGGCATGGCATGCATCACCTTATTCACATTTTCCTGATGACGGCCCTTTTGCTTAACCTGAAAGGTGTGTCCTTCCCTTGCCCCAAGAGGCAAAAAGGGCACAGGCGTGCATGGTGCAGCTGTGCTGTTGCAGAAGCAGCGTGACAAGAGCCACTAGTGCTAATACTGTGTTTCCTCACCTTTTTAAAACCTGCAGGAAGACACAGACCAGGCTGCAATGAGGAAGCAGCAACAACATGTTTCTCACAATGCCTTCTCACAGAAAAGGAATTTTGTGCAGCAAATGGTGAGAACAGTTGCAGAACAGAAGGGTTGAGCTTTTGATCACTGTTCCCATGCCTGTCACACCTATGTGGGTGCAGGTGTAAGGCATGTCTGCCATCATCATCAGATGGTCACTGGATCATTTACAGACTTCCTGAATCAATCTTGCAAGCCCCTGAGAAGGAGGCAAGGGCCTACACAGGGAGTCTGAGCCAACAGAGTGACAAAGCCATTTGCTCAGACTTTCTCAGGCTCTGCTTTCTGCTCTGAGGGCCAGTAGTTCCCAGCCCTCCTTGCAGGCTAACCTTCTCCTTTTTCTTCCAGACTGATCTGTCAGTGCAACATGTAGAAATATGCTAGGACTCTAAAAGAAAAATTCAGCCAAATTGTTCAGTACTCCAAAAAATACTAAGCAAAAGTGCATGTCTGATCACATACAAGTGATCCATAACTCTGCTTGGAACAAATATCTAAACCTCTCTTGCCCTCATCTCGTGGTCAACAAACCAAAATACTGTCTGTGTACAGACAGGAGTTTAACTTGCAGTTAAGCTCTTGCCTGTAAATTTATAAGGTCAGTGAAGTTGCAGATGTGTAACTGTGAATGGAATTTACCTCACAATATTCTTCCTGCTACTGTATTTTAAACACCCGTACTGATATGTGATCCACTGCTTGCTTGATATAGAAGCATCCTTATCTACCTGGTCCCAGTCTCCAGTTATATCTGTATAAAGAAGCCAGATGTTCCCTTCAGGTGAACCCCATTTGCATGCTTGGCATCCAGGAACCCGCACCCTTCAATTAAGCATAATTAACCACATCCCCTTGGTTCATCATTCTTCTCCTCCCTAGCCCAGAGAAGACCCCCAGACAGACACAGAAAGTCATTCTTACCTCCACTCTGCCAACGGCACCAGATTCAGGAATTGTGACGAGCCAGGAGAAAGAAGAAATGGAAAAGACATCAGTGACACTTCACTGCCCTCTCTGAGACGTGGGAGTTAAGATTTCCATGCTAGGAAATCTGTCTGAGACCTGTAAGCTGTCTAAAAAGGATGCAGCTAGATTCTGTCCTTATCTTTGCACCTTATTGTGGGGAAGAATAGTTGGGTAACACTGGATGCCATAGGGGAAGAGGGAATGCGGAGGAAGTGTTAAGGGTAACAGGAAGAACTTCTATAGGTATGTCAGTGATAAAAGGAGGACTAGGAAAAATGTGGGCCCCCTCCGGAAGAAAGTGGGAGACCTGGCTACCCAGGATATTGAGAAGGCTGAGGTACTTAACGAGTTCTTTACCTCAGTCTTCACTGGCAAGAGCTCGAGCTACACTGCCCAAGTTGCAGAAGGCAAAGGCAGTGACTGAGAGAAGGAAGAACCGGCAGCTGTAGGAGAAGATCAGGTTCGAGACCATCTAAAGAACCTGAAGGTGCACAAGTCCATGGGACCTGAAGAGATACATCCGTGGGTCCTGAGGGAACTGGTGAATGAAGTTGCCAAACCACTATCCATCATATTTCAGAAGTCGTGGCACTCCGGTGACATTCCCACAGACTGGAAAAGGGGAAACATA